ATTGTGATAAAATTAATTCGATTACTTCTATGTCATATTTAAATTCCCATTGTGGCCGTTTATTAGTATCCCTTTTTATATTATCTGATTTCAGTCTTATTATTACTTTATAAAAACTTAAGTTAGTTACGTGGAATAAATCTGCGTATGAATCGTACTTCAATACGTCTTTATTGTCCTTGAATAAAAGATACACGTGACTTGTATAGTCAATTATTAAAGTGTAATATGAGCACCTGATAAAACATTTTCTGGAAAAGGTAAAAAAAGTAATATATAAATATTTAGAATTTTATATTATCTTTGTGAATAATTCTATTTCTATTGTTGATTATTATTTTGTTAGGTACATTTTCTTTAACTACTTCTTTTTTATATCTAGTTTTAAGTTTATTTCTTTCCCCGTGTTTCTTCTCATAAACTACCTGTCCTACATGATAATCTTTGTCTTTTCTGTTTTCATTATGTATTTCTAACATTTTTATACCCTTGCAGAGGGTATTATAATTTTGGCAACGCAGTGAAGGAGACATCTCCGACCCTATAAAGTATATATATTCTTGATCAGGATCACCTCCTGAGTTGATATAAGCATGTCCGTCTGTCCGTCTGTCCTTCTGTCTGTCCGTCTGTCTGTTTCTACGCAACTAGTCTCTCAGTTTTAAAGATATCGAATTAAAACTTTGCAAAAACCCTTCTTTCCTTTGCACGCAGTATATAAGTCGGAACGGCCGGGACCGGTCGACTATATCCTATAGCTGCATATAACTGATTGATTGGAAATGCCATAACTTTGGTGTTTGTAAAGTTAGGAAATTGGTATTTTCTATGGGTTTTATATTTGCCCAATTAATCCGACCTACCAAATTTCATAAGGATCGGCCAACTATATGCCATATAACTGAACGATTGGAAATGCCATAACTTTGGTGTTTGTAAAGTTAGGAAGTTGGGATTTTTATGAGTGTTAAGAATGCATAATATGAATAATTTTGGAGAATATAATTTACAGAATATTCTGCAAGGGTATTTCAACTTCGGCTCCGCCCGAAGTTAGCTTTCCTTTCTTGTTTCTAGTGTATTTTTTATAATTTGAGGAATGTTATCGTGCTCTATTTTATTATATAGTACGTCAAAAGGTTTTTGGTTCGTTGTTGAATGAATGCTCTGATTATATTCTTGCTCTTATTACTATTACTATTTCGGAATAGTCTGTTAAATTAAATTCTTCTTTAATGCATCGAGCTAATTCTGTTAATGTAGAATGTGCCCTTTCAACTTGTCCGTTTGAGGTACTGTGCCTCGGGTCTGCGTAATGTAAAGTTAAACCGCACCTTTGTGCAAAAGATTTAAATTGGGCCGAGGTAAAGCTCGGTTCGTTATCGGTCATTATTACTTTGGCTTGTGGAAATTGTTGAAGAAGTTCCATTACTTTGTTTTCGATATTTAATTTATTTTGGATTTCTTTTACTACTAGAAATTTTGAGTAAGCGTAAATATATATCAATGTGTAAATTCTCGCCTTATTTACTTGGGATTGGGGCTTCTCCAATTTTAATTTTAATTGGATGTCTGTTATATTGGTTTTCGTTGCAAATTTTACAATTTTTTATTTATTCTTTTAATTTTGTAAGAAAGTTTGGCCAATAATACAATGTACTGATTTGTTTATAATTTTCGTCTAGTCCCCTGTGCGCTCTACAATGTGTTTCTTCGATTATAAGAGATCTGTCTTCAGAATTTTCTACATCTTGGACAAATATTCTTGTATACAAAAACTTATTCATAAAATTATCTTTAAGTGGTTTTTGAATTCTATAAAAGTTCTCTAAAGTACAATGAATACCTACTGTTAAATTAGGAGGAATATATTCCCTTAAGATTGATATCAAATTTTCGGGATTGTCAAGTTCTATTATATGTCTGGTATTTCCGAATAAATTAACCGACTCATGTTTTGTATACCTTTTCGTTGCTAATAGCAATTGTTGCTGTTCGCGCCGCTTATTTAAATTAATTCTGTTAAATTTATTGAATTTAGTATATTTGTATATTCCTTGAATTGAAATGTTAGCATGATATTACGAACATGTTAAGGTTAAAACTATCGCTGTTTTGAAAACACTATCGACAAACGCCAAGTCGGCTTTGTCATCACTATTATTCGAGTAAAGACTTTAAGCTGAGCGACTGTGCATTTTTTCTGCTGGAGAAAACCAAAATTTGGATCCTCAAAATTAACGCTAGCTGGAAGGACTTTGGGCTCGATCAGTTGCTTAAACTGGTATAAGGGCTTACGGGTTTCTTGTATAACATTCTCAAAACTACTCTTTTCTAAATGCTTTGATCTGAGACCGATTCGTTACTGTCAGTTAAGTTGTTGATCTGAATCCTTGATAAGGCGTCTGCAACTACATTAGTTGTACCTGGCTTATAAATGACTTTTGGACTGAAACTTTCTATGAAGGAGTACCAGCGTTTCATTTCGGATTTTTATTAGAAATTGCGAAAGATAATGGTTGATGATCGGTTTGAATTTCAATTCCAATCACTCCGTATAAGTAATTTCTTAGATTTTTAAGGGCCCATACTATTGCTAAAAGTTCTTTTTTATTAGTTGCATAAACATGTTCTGTTTTAGTCAAGGTTTTTGAAATAAAAGAAATTGGTTTATCTTCTTGAGATAATACTGTACCAATTGCGACGTCCGAAGCGTCGGTGGTCAGGGTTAATTTTTTATTATAGTCCGGTTGAACTAGTTCTACTTGAGCAATGAGATTTTCTTTCAGCTCGTTAAAAGCTTTAATAGCTGAGACATCCAGCTGAATTAACATTTTTGTTGACATTCTTTTTGAAATTTTGCCATTATGACCTCCAAGATATTTGGTTAGAGGTTTCGTTATAAAGGCGTAATTTAAAACAAATTTTCCATAATAGCCCGTAAAGCCTAGGAAACTTCTTAGTTCCCGAATATTTTTTGGAAGCGGATATTTATTAATGGTGTCAGTTTTTTCTGCGTCTGTCTTGATGACGTTATAAGATACGATGTATCCTAGAAAACTGGTTTCGCGTTTAAGGAATTTTGATTTTTCTAAAGAGATTTTATTGTTTGCCCTTAATGATATGTTTATAATTTTGTTTAAGTCTTCATAATGTTGTTCAATCGAATTTGAGAATATTATTTGTTCTCTTAGGATGTCGTCCATTGCTCTCTGAAAAATTCTTGCTGCATTTGTTAGTCCGAATGGCATTCTTAAAAATTTGTATTTTCCATTATTTATTGAAAAAGATGTTTTTTCGACATCAGATTCTTTCATTAATATATGATGAAAACCTGATTTTAAATCTATTGTTGAAAAATATCTTGCTTTTCCCAATTTAGATAGAATTACTGATGGGTCTTGCATTGGGTACCTGTCAGGTATGGTACTTTCATTTAATTTTTTATAATCAATGACGAGTCTTAATTTACGGCTTCCGTCTTGATTTTCTCCTAGGTCTAATAATTTCTTCTGATAACATTCTACTGATTTCGCTATTCACGAAGTCCGTGACAGATAAAGCATACGGATATTGTTTCCCATATATTGGCCTGTCATAAATACGATTTATTTCCCCCTTTATGTCTGTTCTAAAAGAAATTTACATATTTATCTTTGAATGCTCTTCTTCAATATAGTGAAGTATTTTTTCCTTTAGTTCGTCTAAATGATTAGTACCTAAATTATTTATCTGTTGTTTGTCGGATTACTCCAACGACGGCGGGCTTGAAATTTTTACATTTCAAACGATTTTTATTTATTTGATTTTTTATGGTATTTACTTCGTCGGCACTCTCAGGATTTTTAATTCCCAAGATATTTTTATTTTTATTGACGGATATTTCTACGTCGGCGTTCTCAGGATTTTTAATACCCAAGATATTTGTATTTTTATTGACGGATATTTCGACGTCGGCGTTCTCAGGATTTTCGATTCCCAAGCTTTTCTCACTATTTTCCACAAGTAATGAATCTGTGTTTTCTCTTTATCATCGAAAAATTATTTTTTAAAAAATTTTTTTAACGGAAGAATATTATTTACTACAATTAAACTTATTTCATTTTTTCCTTATTATCATTGTTCGGAGCAGCCCGCCTAAACTAGTCTAGTGCGCATAGGTGTATGGCTGAACCTGTAGCGCTCTTGCGCTCTCCTCTTTATATCTGCCTTATCTCGCTAAGCTGTCGCGCTACGTATTCAGCGACTACATTGTAAAACCCAAATTAAAATATGAAGCCAGGCTTTCGGCTGCAGCAGTGCAGATTCGACTGGCAGAATAAACACGACACGTACATAAACTTATAATATTGAAAGCGTTATTATTACATAACCTAAGGGTGGCATTTTTGTTGTCTTCCCCCAAACATTTTGGTGACCCCGACGTGATCGCTGTTTTATTTGCCGTCTGCAACTCGGTTTTATTATTGTTTTATATCGTTTAAACAATATATTTTTGGTTTCGCTGTCGTTTGCGGGCATTCGGTCACAAACACACGGACTTACATACAAGTGCACACAGCTGGCCGTTTAAGTTTTACATTTCGCGCTGTGAAAAGCCGGCAGGCTGTTGATCTTTTTGTACATTTCGCGCTGTGAAAAAATCAAAGCAGTGTTGTGCTGCAAATTATAAACAAAAGGAGAATAACATTTAACTATTCTAAAAGTGCATAGTGCAGTGCATACATATACATAATTTCAAGTCCGCTGTTATAAGGCGGAACAACAACAACAAAGTTCCGTTGCGTTTTCGACGACGCTTGGTGTCGCGCATTTTTCGCGGCAAAAGTTAAAAGGTTATTCACCCCTCTTAACCGGTTCGGACATTTTTCTTTTATTTTTTTGTGTGCGACTAAGAAATGGCTGCTCCAGAAAACGCGGTTCGGCCTCAAAATGACGCGCCAAATGAAATAGAATTTTTTCGCGCCAAAGTGCAATCAATTCTGCGGCAAACAAACGCGATGAAATTTTATTTAACAACTGAGTCTATAGATCAGTTGGATGAAGCTGATCTTCTCGCGCGATTGGACTGGGTCAATTCCTTAAATTCGTCGTTTGACTCCGCACAGACATCGCTGGAACGGCTGGATTTAAAGGAGACTTCGAGTGATAGGCGATGGGAATTTTCGGAGGTTTTTATGGATGTGAAGGCGAAGCTCAATAGAGGCTTAGCGGCCCAGCGCAAATTGCAATTGTTGGGTAGCACAGCTGCCAACTCCACATCTATAGACATCAACCAACATTCTGATCTTTCTTTTCGGACACGGAAGCCTCGATTACCGAACCTGGAGATTGCTCGATTTCATGGATCTTATGCTGAGTGGCCGGACTTTCTCGCAACGTTCACCGCGGTCATTGGAAATGATGACGAGCTAAGCGACATTGAAAAGCTGCAATATTTACGGTCTAGTCTAGGCGGCGTGGCTCTGGAGACCATACGCTCGCTCGAACCTTCAAATGACAATTATAAAAAGGCTTTGAATCTGCTCATAAATCGATTTGATAATAAAGTTTTACATTTTCAGGCACACGTTCAAGCAATATTTGGTTTAAAAGGTGTCGAGAAGGGATCTGCCAAGGGTCTTCGTGAGCTCAGCGATTCTATGAACGCACATCTTCGGGCAATCCAAACGCTGGCCACTACTCAGCAAATTTTGGATGGATTACTGATTCATATCGTCGTTCACAAGCTGGATCAACGGACTCGGGAAAAATGGGAAGAGGATTTGCCAATCGCTGAGTTATCTTCATGGACTGCTATGGAGTCGTTTTTGGAGAGGAGATGCAGGATGATGGAAAATTTGGATCAAGCTTTGGTAACGCAAACACCAGGCCATCAGGTGGGAAAAAATGTGCATAAATATAACCCAAGTGCACTCATTGCGTCTTCTACTAACTTAAATCATCCAATATGCCTATTTTGCGATGCGAGAGATCATTATTTGCCAAAGTGCTCTAGATTTTTAAATTTGAGCCCTCATCTTCGATTTAGAGAAGCCAAGAAAATGCACCTTTGTCTAAACTGTTTGCGCAAGGGGCATAGTTTGCAGCAATGCAAATCAACTCATTGCAGATATTGTCGCATGAAGCACCACTCACTATTGCATATGACCCCTGACTCATCCGCACCACCTCCATCATCAGACCCACTCTCGAGCTCTCAGCCATCACCATCTACTTCATCAGCACTGGTGTCATGCTCACAACTTGATCGTCAGGTATCGCACCCTCCACCAAATGCTTCAAATACTGTGCCAATAAATTACGTGTTGCTGCCTACTGCTATTGTCTATGTAAAAAATAGGGTTGGTTCATTTATGCCCTGTCGAGCAATCTTAGATTCCGCTTCTCAATTGAACTTTATAACTACGCGCCTAGCTAGCCAGTTAAATTTGAAATATAGGCATTCGCATATACTAATTTCTGGGATCGGTGAGTCCTCTATGAACTCTGATAAATCAGTGGATATTTTTGCGCAATCACGGGATGCAGGCTATCGTGCGTCATTCACAGCTGTTGTGACTCACAGTATCACTGATTATCAGCCGAATTTCAACATAAATACATCAGGATGGAGGATTCCACAAAACATTTCGCTCGCTGACCCTTATTTCAACCAATCACAACGAATCGACTTGTTAATTGGCGCTGGTCTGTTTTTCGAAATAATTGCTATGGGGCAAATACATTTGGATAGCATGTTGCCAACACTCCAAAACACCAAACTTGGTTGGATCGTTTCTGGTGGGATGTCGACTACTCCAAATCATAAGTCTGTCTTAGCCGCCATTGTCAAGGATACTACGGATCATTCTGAGGATGACGCACTTGCTGCCATAGTAAAGCGATTTTGGGAAATTGAGGATTGTAATCCATCAAAGCCAGCACTGTTGCCTGAGGACTTGCAATGCGAACAACTGTTCAAGGAAAACTGCACTAGACTTGGGAATGGTCAATACTCTGTTCGTCTCTTATCCACTTCGGGATTCGAAAGTTTAGGTGATTCCTATTGCCTAGCTCGTCGTCGTTTTAGGAGTTTGGAAGCTAAGCTAGATAGAAACCCTGTTCTCAAAGCTCAGTATTCGGCCTTTCTCCAGGAATACATCAACTTAGGCCACATGTCTCTCGCACCAAAGGATCCAACAGTACCACAATTCTTCTTGCCCCACCATTGTGTGCATAAGCAGGAAAGTACGAGCACAAAGCTTCGGGTCGTCTTTGATGGGTCTGCTAGAACTACTTCTGGCAGCTCTCTGAACGACTTGCTTCTTGCAGGGCCAACAATTCAGCAAAAAATCTTTAACATTCTACTTCGCTTCCGATTTTTTAAAGTTGCCCTCTGTGGAGACATCTGCAAGATGTACCGCTGCGTGCGTGTGTCCCACCCGGATGACTTTTTGCAGTGTATTGTTTGGCGAGAGAAGTCCACGGATGAGTTGAGTGTTTACAAATTGAACACGGTGACTTATGGTACCAAGCCAGCTGCCTTTTTGGCTATAAGAGCCATGCATCAGCTCTCTTATGATGAGGAGGATTCGTTTCCAATTGGAGCAAAAATTGTTCGTAGGGACTTCTACGTGGATGATTTAATCTCTGGTGGCGAGTCAATTGAAGAGGTTAGGGAAATTCGTCGTCAGGTGAAGGATCTATTGTCGCGAGGCCATTTTCCAATCCGCAAATGGTGTTCTAATGATGGACGCGCCCTCGAAGGAGAGTCTGACTGCGATAAGGAGAAGCTAATTCAATTTCACGACGGATCAGCTGTTACCAAGGCGCTGGGATTAGCCTGGGATCCTTCTTCTGACCAACTTCTGTTCAACTTTTCTCAATTATCTGTAAATCATCGAGTCACCAAGCGTATTGCACTTTCAACAATAGCCAAATTCTATGATCCGCTCGGTTTAATAACACCGATTGTCACAAAGGCCAAGATCTTTTTGCAATCCCTATGGAATGCTAACGTGGATTGGGATGACACATTGCCAGAGCCTATCCTTTCGTTATGGCGGGAGTTGACCTCTCAATTATCGATCGTCCAAAACTTGAAATGTTCACGATTCGTAATGCAACCTCAGTCTTCCATCCAGTTGCATGGATTCTGCGATGCTAGCATAGCGGCTTATGGAGCGTGTTTATACTTGCGGTCGGAGGCCAATGGAGAAGCAAAGGTCCACTTGCTCTGCGCCAAGTCGAGAGTGTCCCCTTTAAAGGCTTTGACAATTCCAAGATTGGAGTTGTCGGCAGCGCTTTTATTGGCGGAGCTTATCGTAAGCGTCAAGGAAACCATCGATTTCGAATGCGACTTTTATTGCTGGTCCGACTCGTCTATCGTACTGGCGTGGATTCGGCAGCCTCCGAGGGATTTCAACGTATTTGTATCCAACAGAATCGCGAAAATTCAGGAGATGACAAAAGGCATGACTTGGCACCATGTTCCAACAAGCTTAAATCCGGCGGATGTCGTATCGCGAGGCTGTACCCCGAGAGAATTGCTGGAGCACTCCCTGTGGGCTAACGGGCCTCCATTCCTGCTGCAAAGCTCGTCAAAATGGCCCTCTCTTCCAAATGCAGTTAAGGATCTTCCAGAACGTCGTTCCGCAGCGCTAGTTGGAACTGTTTGCACTGACATTTCGATCAACTGCAAATTCCTTAACCCTTTTCATAAGTTGCAGCGTGTATTTGCGTACATTTATCGGTTCATTTCGAATTGCAGAGCAAAATCTTCACCTTCAAGGAACCGTATTACCGTTGAGGAGCTCAATTCGGGGACCGTACTTCTTCTGAGGAGCATCCAACAGGTTCACTTAGCCAAGGAGTATGGATGTCTTAGCCAGGGCAGGCCGTGTCCACAGAAGAGCAAGCTGATTTCGCTGAGACCAATAATCGGCTCCGATGGATTACTTCGCGTTGGTGGAAGACTTCAGAATGCAAATCTGGACTACGATACTCAGCATCCGATATTGTTACCCAAGGATCATCCAGTTACAAAGGCAATCATCGTATATTTTCATATAAAATACTTGCACGCAGGATCGCAAGCGTTACTTGCCACATTAAGGCAAAGGTATTGGCCAATTGGAGGACGAAAGTTCGTGGCTACCGTCATCAACAAATGCGTCAGATGTTTTCGGATGAAGCCTGTCACTTGGGAGCACGTTATGGGCAGCCTGCCAGCCAATCGAGTTCAGCCTAACCCAGCATTTCATACCACGGGAGTAGATTATTGTGGACCATTTTATCATAAGGCAGAGGCCCGCAACAAGGCGCCTCACAAGTGTTACATAGCCGTCTTTGTCTGCTTCTCTACGAAGGCCACGCATTTGGAAGTCGTCCAGGATCTCACAACGGATTCTTTCATCGCAGCGTTGAGAAGATTCACCAGCCTGAGAGGCACTCCGCGCACTATTTGGAGTGACAATGCGACGAATTTTGTCGGCGCTAAGAGCGAGCTAACCGAGCTGAAGAATCTATTTCTGAGCGAACCCCACACGGCTGCGATAGCTTCCTCTTGCTTAGCTGATGGGATTGATTGGAAGTTCATACCTCCGCGTGCCCCACATTTCGGTGGTTTATGGGAGGCGGCTGTTAAATCGGCCAAATTTCATTTTTATAGAGTCGTCGGTGCTTCCATCTTGGGCCTCGATGAATTGAGAACTCTCGCTTATGAGATTTCTGCCATTCTTAACTCCCGTCCACTCTGTCCAATTTCAGAAAACGCTGAAAGTCTTGACGTGTTAACGCCGGCCCATTTCCTGAAAGGCTCCAGCTACACAAGGTTTCCTGAGCCTGATATCACGCATCTCCGAGAAGGCCGCCTCAGCAGATGGCAAAGGGTGACACAGATGCAGCAGCAATTCTGGAAGCGGTGGAGCAGCGAGTACTTATCCTTGCTCCAAGAAAGGAGTAAGTGGCGCGTCGAAACATCCAACATCAAGGTCGGAAGCATCGTGTTGCTGAAGGAGGACAACCTTCCACCCTTGAAATGGCAGCTGGGGTGCATCCAAGGAGTCGTTCCAGGCGAGGACGGTGTCGTCAGAGTAGCTATGGTCCGTACAGCTACGGGTCTAGTCAAGAGAGCCGTCGCCAAGTTAGCCGTTCTGCCCATCGATTCCCATTTAGTTGGAGCCCTACTTCCTCCAACGGGGGGAGTATGTTCGGAGCAGCCCGCCTAAACTAGTCTAGTGCGCATAGGTGTATGGCTGAACCTGTAGCGCTCTTGCGCTCTCCTCTTTATATCTGCCTTATCTCGCTAAGCTGTCGCGCTACGTATTCAGCGACTACATTGTAAAACCCAAATTAAAATATGAAGCCAGGCTTTCGGCTGCAGCAGTGCAGATTCGACTGGCAGAATAAACACGACACGTACATAAACTTATAATATTGAAAGCGTTATTATTACATAACCTAAGGGTGGCATTTTTGTTGTCTTCCCCCAAACAATCATAATATTTTAACTTTTCTGATTTTCCTTTATATTCCAAGACTCCCTTTTCTATATTTATTATAGCTGCAATTTTTCTTAATAATATGAATCCAATTAGAAGATCAGATTCTAATCCTTCGATTTCATAAAATAAATGTCTTGTTTCAAATATATTTATAATATGATAATATTTAATAATTGAATACCCATGAACTGTAGTTGCCTTTTTGTATATTGATAACTCATTTTTATTTTCAAAATTTCACTTTTTTATATCACAAGCAGTGGCTCCTGTATCTATTAAAATATTTAACTGCGTCTTTGTTTTCCGGTCTATCCTATTTAAATAAGGCATTCCCTGTAGGGGGTCTGGTCTAAAAAATTATCTTCATTAATATTATTTAATCTGGTTATTTTATTAGCTGGTTGATTTACTGTTCCATTTGGTTCCCTTTTTTTAGCTTGAGTTGGCTCTCAATTTTGATTAGTGTGATAATAATTTGAACGATTATTATTTTGATAATAATTATTATTATATCTTACTTGATTATTATTTGCCTGCCAATTATTATTCGGCTGCCGATTGTTATAAGGTGTATTCTGGAGTTGAATCGATGGATCAACATCCATTGGCTCGACGGTTTGTTGCTTTTGATTGTTATTTTGACTATTGTTTTGCCAAAAATTTCCCCTTTGTGACCAATTATAATTTTGGCTATTACTTGCCAAAGCATTGGGCAAATCTGAGGGACTTAATGAAAAAAGAGTTTTTGGAGAGGAGATGCAGGATGATGGAAAATTTGGATCAAGCTTTGGTAACGCAAACACCAGGCCATCAGGTGGGAAAAAATGTGCATAAATATAACCCAAGTGCACTCATTGCGTCTTCTACTAACTTAAATCATCCAATATGCCTATTTTGCGATGCGAGAGATCATTATTTGCCAAAGTGCTCTAGATTTTTAAATTTGAGCCCTCATCTTCGATTTAGAGAAGCCAAGAAAATGCACCTTTGTCTAAACTGTTTGCGCAAGGGGCATAGTTTGCAGCAATGCAAATCAACTCATTGCAGATATTGTCGCATGAAGCACCACTCACTATTGCATATGACCCCTGACTCATCCGCACCACCTCCATCATCAGACCCACTCTCGAGCTCTCAGCCATCACCATCTACTTCATCAGCACTGGTGTCATGCTCACAACTTGATCGTCAGGTATCGCACCCTCCACCAAATGCTTCAAATACTGTGCCAATAAATAACGTGTTGCTGCCTACTGCTATTGTCTATGTAAAAAATAGGGTTGGTTCATTTATGCCCTGTCGAGCAATCTTAGATTCCGCTTCTCAATTGAACTTTATAACTACGCGCCTAGCTAGCCAGTTAAATTTGAAATATAGGCATTCGCATATACTAATTTCTGGGATCGGTGAGTCCTCTATGAACTCTGATAAATCAGTGGATATTTTTGCGCAATCACGGGATGCAGGCTATCGTGCGTCATTCACAGCTGTTGTGACTCACAGTATCACTGATTATCAGCCGAATTTCAACATAAATACATCAGGATGGAGGATTCCACAAAACATTTCGCTCGCTGACCCTTATTTCAACCAATCACAACGAATCGACTTGTTAATTGGCGCTGGTCTGTTTTTCGAAATAATTGCTATGGGGCAAATACATTTGGATAGCATGTTGCCAACACTCCAAAACACCAAACTTGGTTGGATCGTTTCTGGTGGGATGTCGACTACTCCAAATCATAAGTCTGTCTTACCCGCCATTGTCAAGGATACTACGGATCATTCTGAGGATGACGCACTTGCTGCCATAGTAAAGCGATTTTGGGAAATTGAGGATTGTAATCCATCAAAGCCAGCACTGTTGCCTGAGGACTTGCAATGCGAACAACTGTTCAAGGAAAACTGCACTAGACTTGGGAATGGTCAATACTCTGTTCGTCTCTTATCCACTTCGGGATTCGAAAGTTTAGGTGATTCCTATTGCCTAGCTCGTCGTCGTTTTAGGAGTTTGGAAGCTAAGCTAGATAGAAACCCTGTTCTCAAAGCTCAGTATTCGGCCTTTCTCCAGGAATACATCAACTTAGGCCACATGTCTCTCGCACCAAAGGATCCAACAGTACCACAATTCTTCTTGCCCCACCATTGTGTGCATAAGCAGGAAAGTACGAGCACAAAGCTTTGGGTCAGCTCTCTGAACGACTTGCTTCTTGCAGGGCCAACAATTCAGCAAAAAATCTTTAACATTCTACTTTGCTTCCGATTTTTTAAAGTTGCCCGCGGATGACTTTTGCAGTGTATTGTTTGGATGAGTTGAGGGTTTACAAGTTGAACACGGTGACTTATGGTACCAAGCCAGCTGCCTTTTTGGCTATAAGAGCCATGCATCAGCTCTCTTATGATGAGGAGGATTCGTTTCCAATTGGGGCAAAAATTGTTCGTATGGACTTCTACGTGGATGATTTAATCTCTGGTGGCGAGTCAATTGAAGAGGTTAGGGAAATTCGTCGTCAGGTTAAGGATCTATTGTCGCGAGGCCATTTTCCAATCCGCAAATAGTGTTCTAATGATGGACGCGCCCTCGAAGGAGAGTCTGACTGCGATAAGGAGAAGCTAATTCAATTTCACGACGGATCAGCTGTTACCAAGGCGCTGGGATTAGCCTGGGATCCTTCTTCTGACCAACTTCTGTTCAACTTTTCTCAATTATCTGTAAATCATCGAGTCACCAAGCGTATTGCACTTTCAACAATAGCCAAATTCTATGATCCGCTCGGTTTAATAACACCGATTGTCACAAAGGCCAAGATCTTTTTGCAATCCCTATGGAATGCTAACGTGGATTGGGATGACACATTACCAGAGCCTATTCTTTCGTCATGGGGGGAGTTGACCTCTCAGTTATCGATCGTCCAAAACTTGAAATTTTCACGATTCGTAATGCAACCTCAGTCTTCCATCCAGTTGCATGGATTCTGCGATGCTAGCATAGCGGCTTATGGAGCGTGTTTATACTTGCGGTCGGAGGCCAATGGAGAAGCAAAGGTCCACTTGCTCTGCGCCAAGTCGAGAGTGTCCCCTTTAAAGGCTTTGACAATTCCAAGATTGGAGTTGTCGGCAGCGCTTTTATTGGCGGAGCTTATCGTAAGCGTCAAGGAAACCATCGATTTCGAATGCGACTTTTATTGCTGGTCCGACTCGTCTATCGTACTGGCGTGGATTCGGCAGCCTCCGAGGGATTTTAACGTATTTGTATCCAACAGAATCGCGAAAATTCAGGAGATGACAAAAGGCATGACTTGGCACCATGTTCCAACAAGCTTAAATCCGGCGGATGTCGTATCGCGAGGCTGTACCCCGAGAGAATTGCTGGAGCACTCCCTGTGGGCTAACGGGCCTCCATTCCTGCTGCAAAGCTCGTCAAAATGGCCCTCTCTTCCAAATGCAGTTAAGGATCTTCCAGAACGTCGTTCCGCAGCGCTAGTTGGAACTGTTTGCACTGACATTTCGATCAACTGCAAATTCCTTAACCCTTTTCATAAGTTGCAGCGTGTATTTGCGTACATTTATCGGTTCATTTCGAATTGCAGAGCAAAATCTTCACCTTCAAGGAACCGTATTACCGTTGAGGAGCTCAATTCGGGGACCGTACTTCTTCTGAGGAGCATCCAACAGGTTCACTTAGCCAAGGAGTATGGATGTCTTAGCCAGGGCAGGCCGTGTCCACAGAAGAGCAAGCTGATTTCGCTGAGACCAATAATCGGCTCCGATGGATTACTTCGCGTTGGTGGAAGACTTCAGAATGCAAATCTGGACTACGATACTCAGCATCCGATATTGTTACCCAAGGATCATCCAGTTACAAAGGCAATCATCGTATATTTTCATATAAAATACTTGCACGCAGGATCGCAAGCGTTACTTGCCACATTAAGGCAAAGGTATTGGCCAATTGGAGGACGAAAGTTCGTGGCTACCGTCATCAACAAATGCGTCAGATGTTTTCGGATGAAGCCTGTCACTTGGGAGCACGTTATGGGCAGCCTGCCAGCCAATCGAGTTCAGCCTAACCCAGCATTTCATACCACGGGAGTAGATTATTGTGGACCATTTTATCATAAGGCAGAGGCCCGCAACAAGGCGCCTCACAAGTGTTACATAGCCGTCTTTGTCTGCTTCTCTACGAAGGCCACGCATTTGGAAGTCGTCCAGGATCTCACAACGGATTCTTTCATCGCAGCGTTGAGAAGATTCACCAGCCTGAGAGGCACTCCGCGCACTATTTGGAGTGACAATGCGACGAATTTTGTCGGCGCTAAGAGCGAGCTAACCGAGCTGAAGAATCTATTTCTGAGCGAACCCCACACGGCTGCGATAGCTTCCTCTTGCTTAGCTGATGGGATTGATTGGAAGTTCATACCTCCGCGTGCCCCACATTTCGGTGGTTTATTGGAGGCGGCTGTTAAATCGGCCAAATTTCATTTTTATAGAGTCGTCGGTGCTTCCATCTTGGGCCTCGATGAATTGAGAACTCTCGCTTATGAGATTTCTGCCATTCTTAACTCCCGTCCACTCTGTCCAATTTCAGAAAACGCTGAAAGTCTTGACGTGTTAACGCCGGCCCATTTCCTGAAAGGCTCCAGCTACACAAGGTTTCCTGAGCCTGATATCACGCATCTCCGAGAAGGCCGCCTCAGCAGATGGCAAAGGGTGACACAGATGCAGCAGCAATTCTGGAAGCGGTGGAGCAGCGAGTACTTATCCTTGCTCCAAGAAAGGAGTAAGTGGCGCGTCGAAACATCCAACATCAAGGTCGGAAGCATCGTGTTGCTGAAGGAGGACAAACTTCCACTCTTGAAATGGCAGCTGGGGTGCATCCAAGGAGTCGTTCCAGGCGAGGACGGTGTCGTCAGAGTAGCTATGGTCCGTACAGCTACGGGTCTAGTCAAGAGAGCCGTCGCCAAGTTAGCCGTTCTGCCCATCGATTCCCATTTAGTTGGAGCCCTACTTCCTCCAACGGGGGGAGTATGTTCGGAGCAGCCCGCCTAAACTAGTCTAGTGCGCATAGGTGTATGGCTGAACCTGTAGCGCTCTTGCGCTCTCCTCTTTATATCTGCCTTATCTCGCTAAGCTGTCGCGCTACGTATTCAGCGACTACATTGTAAAACCCAAATTAAAATATGAAGCCAGGCTTTCGGCTGCAGCAGTGCAGATTCGACTGGCAGAATAAACACGACACGTACAAAAACTTATAATATTGAAAGCGTTATTATTACATAACCTAAGGGTGGCATTTTTGTTGTCTTCCCCCAAACAATCATAATATTTTAACTTTTCTGATTTTCCTTTATATTCCAAGACTCCCTTTTCTATATTTATTATAGCTGCAATTTTTCTTAATAATATGAATCCAATTAGAAGATCAGATTCTAATCCTTCGATTTCATAAAATAAATGTCTTGTTTCAAATATATTTATAATATGATAATATTTAATAATTGAATACCCATGAACTGTAGTTGCCTTTTTGTATATTGATAACTCATTTTTATTTTCAAAATTTCACTTTTTTATATCACAAGCAGTGGCTCCTGTATCTATTAAAATATTTAACTGCGTCTTTGTTTTCCGGTCTATCCTATTTAAATAAGGCATTCCCCTGTAGGGGTCTGGTCTAAAAAATTATCTTCATTAATATTATTTAATCTGGTTATTTTATTAGCTGGTTGATTTACTGTTCCATTTGGTTCCCTTTTTTTAGCTTGAGTTGGCTCTCAATTTTGATTAGTGTGATAATAATTTGAACGATTATTATTTTGATAATAATTATTATTATATCTTACTTGATTATTATTTGCCTGCCAATTATTATTCGGCTGCCGATTGTTATAAGTTGAATCGATGGATCAACATCCATTGGCTCGACGGTTTGTTGCTTTTGATTGTTATTTTGACTATTGTTTTGCCAAAAATTTCCCCTTTGTGACCAATTATAATTTTGGCTATTACTTGCCAAAGCATTGGGCAAATCTGAGGGACTTAATGAAAAAAGAGTTTCTGAGATAGATCCATTTAGTCCGGATATAAATATTCGTAGAGCATTGCTCCTTATTATATTGTTTGTTTCCTTGGTAACTACGCTGTCCTTTCCGTATGTCATTTTGGGTTTGTTTATTAATAAAGTCATTTTTTTATTGACTTCATTACAATATTCTGTAACTGAGATTCGTCCCTGCCTGAGGATACTTAGTTCTGACTCGAGAATATGTATTGGTCGTTTATCGTTATATATAAAGTCCAATCTAGATAACATTGCTTGAAAATTTTAAACGGTGCCATGATTGGTAAGAGCATCATGGGCAGCTCCCATCATTTTATTTCGTAAAATAGTTAAGGCAATAAAATATTGTTCACTTTGAATTTTATAAAAACTCATTACAGTTTCTGCAGCTTCCCTCCATCCTACATATAGTGTTGGTTCCCCGGTGAATTTTGGTAAAGATTTTACCACTTCAAGTGTGGTATCGCATTTTATAGTTGGGTCAATTGCTTGAATTTTAAATTCCTCCATAGTGTTTGGATCTGTGGCTAACCTTCCTTCTAAACCTTCTATTTTTCTGGTCACTTCATTCAACTGAACATTTATTGATCTATTTATCAATTCTACTGTTAAGACGCCCGCTGTGACTATACTACCTGCAGAAAATTTTTTTAATTTTAAATTTAATTCACCAAAGCTTTTTATTAAATTTTCCAGATTGTTTCTTTATTATTTATATATATCTAGATTCGCGATTTAACTTACTATTTTTTATCAATGTTTAAATTTTTATATTTTTTCCAATTCCCTAATCTTGAATTATAATTTTTATTTATTTTTTTATATTATTGAAAATTAATTCCTCACAAAACGGTCCCGATGGGGTCTTCCTTCTATGATGTTGTGGGTTGATCTTCCTTCTTGGATTCAGCGAAGATTGATGGCGGGAGAATGGCCTTCTTTTCTTCTTTAATTTTATTGTTTCAGCGTGTTGTCTTTTTTTTGTTGTTGTAAGTTCTTGTTTGATTCAACAATTTTTTTATTTTAATGCGTTTTCGCTTTTTAATTGTTTTTTTTTATTTTTATTTAATTTGTATTGTATTTTTGTGTTCTTGTATTTTTTTTTTTAAGATTTCGGTACACCTTTATTTTAAATTGATTATTTCATTTATTAATTTCTATTTAATAGTTGTTAACGATCACTGCTACTCTGTTGTGCCGTATGGTGGATGTTTTAATTTTTTCACTAAAAATGTAGAGTTGTTGGCCACGCGAGCTCCGTTTATATTTTCATTAAATAATTTTTTGCAACTTTTTAAGACGCGGCCCCACGTTGGGTGCCAATTAAATTTCTTGTTAGTCGATGATTTAAAAAAATATAATTTTTTTATTATATTATTTTGGTGATAAACCTTTTATTCTTAAACACTTTAAATACAAGACACTTTCTGTTTACTTTCTAATTTTTGTCAACCGATCGCGGTCGCAATAAAAATAGGACTGCCTCTTCATTTCTAAATCTAATCCAATGAACCTCGGCCAGGAGCTTTTCTTTTTGAACTTTAGAACTTCAATTTATGTTTATATTAAAAGCTTAGGATGAAACTGTTGCATCTGATTGTGAAATTCAATTATGCTGACCGATGCAATTTGGTGGAAACTTGAAACACAAAAGGGCGCAATTGATTGGGATTCAAACGGAAGCTGATGTTTACTTTAATTTTAATTTGCGCTTAAGATGAAACTGTGCGACAGTTTCATTGTGAAATTCAAGTAGCAATTGATTGGGTTTCGAACGGAAGCGGATGTTTACATTAATTTTGATTTGTTTAACTTACTTGGGGAACCAAGATCGGACCTCAAAGCCAAAGGCAAAGACAACGGCAAATGCAGAGTTGGAAAATATTGTTTATATAAGCCATAAGTGGCCTGGTTTCACGGGTTGGATAACTGCACATGTTTATAAAAAAAGCTTGAGTTTATAACAAATCCTAAATAAAACAGGCAAGGGTATTTTGCAGTACGAAGTAAGTCATTTATATATAAAATTTTTAGTTCAAATTTAAATATATAATAGACGATCAGTGTTGAAGAATACATTTATAATTTAGCTTCTTTTAAAATAAGAATTTTTGTAAAAACCGAATTGGCAGCGCCGAGAGTAGAGGCGACCACTTGCGAAATAAAGTGTCTATGTGAACGACGTACAAATCTGAGACGCGCATTTTAAATTTGGTCTTTCGATCGGATATTAACTCTACAACCTCAGGTAAACCCTCAACATGGTCTTTCGATCGGATATTAACTCTACAACCTCAGGTAAACTCTCAACATGGTCCTTCGATGTCAACTGAACAGCAAATGGATTAAAAAATATTTTTCGCTTTTACTCAGAAATTCACATACACGCTCACATTGACGACGACTTGAGTTGTGTGTGTGTGTGTATTCGCGAAAGTTTACAATATATCGTAATATTGCGAAATTCGGAATCTACGACGCAATAAATGAATTCTCTACGATCTCTGTGAGGTGGAAACAAGACAAGAAATAATCATGGCACCAACAGGACATAAAAAGAAATCAGAAAAGGAGCTACGGGATCAACTGGCAAAACAGGAACAAGAGGCTAAAATTTCAACAGGAACAATTGGATCTCGAGCAGCAATTATACTTGGCCCAATTGGTCTCCGATGCAGGCAGCCAAATATATGACAACAATCTGGAACAATATGACGACGACAACAAAGATGTCCGTACGCGTGAGTGGGTCAATGGAGCTCAACGTAAGCTTAAGTTTCAAAACGATACTATGTCTGAAAACAAATTATCTAACCATAACGATATCGAAACATTCATGGCCAGGCAGACTATCAAACAAGATCTTCCGTCGTTTTCAGGGGACCCATTAGAGTGGCCCATATTATAACTAAAACTTGTAATTTCAATGACTATGAAAACTTAAGTGGACTCAGAAAAGCTTTATGGAGGACGTGCCAAAGAATGTGTTCAGACACTTTTAATTTTACCAGAAAATGTCGACACCATTATGGAAATCCTTAAAGAGCGTTTTGGAGACCCATGTTACATAATAAGATTGCTCCTTGACAAAATCAAACAGTTCCCAGTTATTAGAGACGACAAATTCTATGACATAATCACCAATCTGGTTCACACTTTGCTGAATATCGGTGATATAGATTGTGCCTTGGTAAATACCATTTACTTAAAGACTGCAAACGTAAAAGGCAATGTAACAGAAATAATTGTAGTTACAGTCATAATAGTTGGAAAATCAGAGAGTTTTCTAATTATTAACAACAACCGAAAAACGTGACGGTGGCTTAAATTATTAACAGCGAGAAAAACGAAAACGAAAAAAAAAAAAGAGTCGACGGCTCAAATCAATTTTAACGAATGCTTATTATATTATATTATTATATTCGCGGGACCATCGCCGCCAGAACATTTGCCTGACTGACGAGACAAGCCGACGGCCCGCCTGTCAGTAGGTGCCCGGGTGTCAGCGCCTCTCCGTCGCTTGGATCGCTGCTGATTGCTCCGAGCGGCCGGGAGTTCATAACCGCCTCGATTCCCACGAGGACTGTCCCCAGCTCTTCTGCGCTTAGGAGCGCGCTGCCCCCGCCCGTAGGAGTAGGCTCTTGGCAGTTTTGACACCTGCCTCCCATAGTCCGCCCATGTGCGGAGCCCGCGGTGGTGTGAAGACAAATTCGCATCCGCTTTTTGATGCGAATTCGCGTATCGCGTCGGCTTCGTCCTCTATCCTCTCTCGAAGGGCCCGGAATTGGCGACTCGCTCCGACGACGTTCGTCCCGTTGTCGCAATGGATGACTTGGGGACATCCTCGGCGCCCAACGAACCTTTGAAAATCCAATAAAAAGGAATCTGTGGTTAAATCTGAAACAACTTCTAGATGAACCGCTTTGGACGCAAAACAAACGCAGAGCGCAATATAGGACTTATACGGAGGCCTACCACGAATTTGGGTCTCCGAGCACCCATGACAGCAGTGTCAATTTGAAAACCACTTTCAGGTGAGTTTGAAAACCACTTTGTCAATTCAAAACCTGCAGTTTAAAGAACCTGAGATACTTCAGACTTAATAGTCTTTAACTCCTCTACGCAGGCAGCACCAGTCATGATATCATCGACATAAAAGTCGGATCCCATAACCTTAGCAGCTCTAGGAAAAGAAACTTTGGCAGACTCACTTAGCCTTTTTAAACACCGAATAGCCAAAAACGGGGCTGGTCCAGTACCATATGTTTCGGTGTTGAGCTTGTATAATCTCAAGGACTCAGAGGGGTCTCTTCTCCACACTATGAGTTGAAACTGCCTATCTGCTTCATTCACCATCACTTGACGATATATTTTCTTTACATCGGCGGTCAGGGAAAACTTATGCAGCCGGAAGCGCAGTATCGTTGAGTACAACTCATCTTGGATTGTCGGCCAAACCATCAAAATGTCATTTAGAGACTTCTGAGTTGACGATTTACAAGACGCATCGAAAACGATACGTAACTTGGTTGACGTACTTTGGGGTCTCAGAACACATTGATGTGGGATAACATAGTGTGGAGCAGAAGGAAGTTTATCTATAAGAGACTTATGACCTAAGGAAAGGTACTCCTCCATAAATTCTAGGCACATTTTCTTCATCTCAGGGTCTCGAGACAGCCTTCTTTCCAGCGACAAAAACCGCCGTTTTGCAACTTCAAAAGAGTTGCCTAACTCATTTGGATCCGATTTAAACGGCAGTCTTACTTCAAACCGACCTGATGGCAAAACCTGAGTAGTCTTCCGGTAGTGTTCTTCACATAACTTTTGCTCAGGTGACAGAATTTTCTTTAGAGATGGCATTTCTTCCAGTGACCAAAACTTCTGTAGTGTGCTGTCAATAGACACTAAAATCTCTTCACTACAACTGAAACTTTTCACAACTTCTGTAGGGGAAGATGCCTTTATCTACCCGATACAACCCAGCCGAAGAGGGTTTTCTGCAGAGTTGGAAAGTCAGGACCTTGTCTAATTTGTCCAACGGCTAATAATTCGAAAAATGATTCTGCTCCTATTAACATATCTATTCTTTGTGGCTTGTAGAAATAGGGGTCTGCTAGTGGTAGGTTCTTTGGAATTTTCCTGTCATTGATATTGACCGACTGGTCAGGATGATATCCTGATATTGATTTCAAAACCAAAAATCGAAGGAACTCACTACCATTTATACGCGACTTCACCATTGTGTGTACCTTTTTCTTAACTTAACAAGTAAGTTTATGCACGACTCCTCTTTACGGATCTGTAAGCGGTGAGCAAGGTCCTCTGTTATAAAATTCGTTTGGGACCCAGAGTCAAGAAAGGCTCGGGTTCAAATATATTCACCGTTTTAAGTTCTTACACTTACGATCGACGTTGTTAAATTCACTCTGTCCAATGATGTCGCATATAACATGTGACGTGGAAGGCTGATCTTGATTTAAAGAGGGAGAAAGAATCTCTTGGGATGGTGGCAACGCTAAACTATTTTCGGACACTGTATATCTATGCAGTAAAACGTGATGCGAGCGGCCACAAACTCGACATTTATTAAATTTGCATTTTGAAACAGTGTGACCCTTTCGCATACAATTGATGCATAAGGAAGCAGATTTTACAAAGTCAAACCTTTGCATTACCGAAAGGCGACCAAACGGACCACAGTTCGCTAGGATATGGTCTCCTGCATTGCAATAGCTACAACTTTGCTGGAATTTACTGTTGGACGAAGAACAAGAAAATGAGCTGCGATTATGTGGCTTGCTCGACATAACTTTATCTTGCTTTGGTTTCGTCGATTCTTCAGCGGATAAATGCTGGTATCGGCGGTTTAACATTTTTTCAAAATCGGACCAAAGCGGTAACCTTTCATAATCTAATTGTTCTTCCCATTTTTATTTGGTCACTGGGTCTACTCTGTTCAAAACAAGATAGATCAACATTGCATTTGAAATCTTGTTGTCGTCTCCTATCGATAACAAAGAACCGTATATAGCTGATACGGTGTCGATAATATTTCTTAAAGACGACGCTGACTGTTGCGTTATTTTCGGAAGACTAAACAATGTTGAAATATTATTCATAAAAATTAAACATTCGTTATCATACACTTTTTTCAGGCTGATCATAGCCTTTTCATAATTGCTCTCGGTGACTTGGTAGGCCTTTATAGTTCCCAAAGCTTCACCAGAAAGACAAGAAATTAAGTGATTGAAGAAAAGACTAATGAAATTCTTAAACTCCGAATATAATTAATTTCGGCAATGCCAAATTCGGAAGTCGAGCTCGAGTTGGGGCTACAGAAGCTGATCCAATTATTTTGGTTTCGCTTGCCGTCTTCAAGGCTGAGATAAGCGACATTATTTTTGCCTTGGTTATTATTGAAAGCTCTTCTAACTCTTCTCCGACTTCATCGCCATCATCTAAATCTTCAATCTGTTCTTGTATTTGAGTTGCCTTAATAATAGAAGCATTTAAAATCTCTAGCCGACAAGTTAGTTCTACTTCTGGCCGGCTTCTATTCGATCATTTAATTGGCGGATGCTCATCACTGGTTTTTTGAGCTTATTTTTAAGATCCGCAAGAAGTTCAAAAGATTTTGGCTTATCTGGACTCATTTTAATTTATTTTTTATTTTTTATATATAAACCACGAAAATAAATAAATATATATATATAAATAAATTATTTATCCAAGAATAATAATTAATAAATAAATAAGTTTTAAAAGAGGATAATTGTTAAGAACGACGACAAAATGTTAAATAAATTTTCGAAACAAAATACTAAGAGTAAATAACAATTTAATTTAATTATTAAATTTGTTCGAAAAAATTATTTTAATAATTATCCACAACGAAAACGACGAAAAAAATATTAAATTGAATATCGAGCCACGAGGTATCAAAATTAACAGTGGTTGCAAATGACGGCAAAAATCAGTATACCCGTCCGAATGCAGGGTAGCGCGTCACTTTGATCTTCAGCGCGCCAAACCAAAAGTCCAACAACAATTACAACGATGCTAACGGCAGACAAGCGAAGCGAAAAAGGAAAACGAAAAAGTTAACCGCTGCAGCTGCTTGTATATGAGGACTTATGTATGTATTGGTTATATATAGCGGCTGGGATAATTTTACCAACTATTAATTTTCGAGTTTCAATAATTAAATTGGGGCCGACAGTGATTGCAATAATATAACACAATTATGTAAATGTTGCGTCCAACGGAGGTTCAAATAGGTTATAATGTGTATGTGTATATGTATGTGTATACAATAAATTTTAATATAATTATACCCGTTACTCGTAGAGTAAAAGGGTATATTGTATTCGTGCAAAAGTATGTAACAGCTAGAAGGAAGCGTTTCCGACCCTATAAAGTATATATATTCTTGATCAGGGTCACTAGCCGAGTCGATATAGCCATGTCCGTCTGTCCGTCTGTCCGTCTGTCTGTCCGTCTGTCTGTCTGTCTGTCTGTCTGTCCGTATGAACGCTGAGATCTCGGAAACTATAAAAGCTAGAAGTTTGGCATTTTGCATGCAGATTCTAGGAGTTCCTACGCAGCGCAAGTTTGTTTCAAAAAGTGCCACGCCCTCTTTAACGCCCACAATAGCTTATATACGATTTTAAAAATTTAAATATTTCGGAAAAGTAAAAATGCAGTTTTATTGTGCTTATCAATACCTATCGAAATGTAGAAGAAATTTTTCAAATCGGACCAT